GCCTGTGCTAACATGGGTGGCTATGACAAGTTTCTGCAGTTGTTTGAGGAAATGAGGGAATTTCGTGTTGAGCCTGATGTTTTGACTTACAATGTCATGATCAAGCTGTGTGCTAGAGCTAATAGGAAGGATCTAATTGTGTATGTCTTGGAGATGATTCTTGCAAAGGATATTCCTATGTGTATGACGACTTTGAACTCGGTCGTGGCGGCTTATGTCGGGTTTGGAGATTTGGAAACAGCTGAGAAGGTAGTTCAAGCAATGAGGGAAGGGAAAAGAGATCTTTGCAGGATCCTCAGGGATGGTAATTTGGATGAGATCGAGGATATGGAAGATTTGGAAGAAGATGAAGACGAGGTATTCAAGAAGTTGCTTCCTAATTTGAATGAAGAAAGTGATTCGGAGCCACCATTGTTACCAAAAGCCTATTCTCCTAACTCGAGAATTTACACAACTCTGATGAAAGGGTATATGAATGAGGGTCGAGTAGCTGACACGATGCGCATGCTCGAGGCGATGAGACACCAGGATGATAGATCCAGTCATCCTGACCATGTATCATACACGACTGTGGTTTCAGCTCTAGTAAAGACAGGGTCAATGGACCGAGCCCGCCAAGTGCTAGCTGAAATGACAAGAATTGGGTGTCCTGCAAATCGTATTACCTACAATATTCTCCTAAAGGGTTATTGCAGGTTGCTTCAGATGGACAAGGCCAAGGAGCTGCTTAAGGAGATGGTTGATGGGGCAGGTATTGAACCTGATGTGGTTTCTTATAACATATTGATTGATGGATGCATACTGGTCGACGATAGTGCAGGAGCTCTTGCCTTCTTTAATGAGATGCGGTCGAAAGGAATAGCACCCACCAAGGTTAGTTACACCACTCTGATGAAAGCTTTTGCTCAGTCAGGTCAGCCAAAGCTGGCGAGGAAAGTATTTGATGAAATGCTGAATGATCCTAGGGTGAAAGCTGATATAGTAGCCTGGAATATGTTGATTGAAGGGTATTGTAGACTAGGATTGATAGAAGAAGCAAAGCAATTAGTTCAGAAAATGAAAGAGAGTGGATTTTTCCCAGATGTTTCTACATATGGAAGTCTTGCCAATGGAATTTCTTTAGCTAGAAAACCAGGTGAAGCCCTTCTGCTATGGAATGAAGTAAAGGAGAGATGTGCAGTGAAGGGAGGAAACAAGCCTGATTCTTCGTCTCCCCCTCCCTTGAAACCAGATGAAGGACTGTTGGATACTCTGGCTGATATATGTGTCCGGGCTGCTTTTTTTAGGAAGGCTTTAGAAATTGTGGCTTGCATGGAAGAGAATGGGATACCACCCAATAAGACAAAGTACAGTAGAATTTATGTTGAAATGCATTCTAGGATGTTTACTAGTAAACATGCATCAAAGGCCAGACAGGACAGAAGGATTGAGAGGAAGAGAGCAGCAGAGGCTTTCAAGTTTTGGTTGGGTTTGCCCAATTCTTATTATGGGAGTGAGTGGAGATTGGATCCCTTAGATCGTGATGATTAAGGTTTCAGATCATTTCAACTGATGGTCGGTCATTCACTGTCTTCTACCTCAACTATTCAGTAGGTCACTACAATACATTGTCAAGGACTCCAATAGAAAATAATGGGAAAAAGTAAAGACGAAAAACTCAAAATTTTTATAGTGCATATGTGATTTTGTAGAAGTTTTCTGAGGGAAGATAATACATTGGGCTACATAGTGCCAAAAAAAAGTGCTTATATGTATATGTTACCTGTGCGTGTCTAAACTAGTTTGTTACACTTGGTGACCATCCTAATTTGGCTATATGACCTGAAAGTTATTTGAATTTACAATTTATCTCAAGGGAACAAAACAATGTCCGAACTGTAAAGCTATAATTAATTATCAAGCCAGACAGCATCCCTTTTGTACCATTTAAATATTTCGTTCATTGGAACGTACTATACAACTATTTCAGCATCAACCAAAAATACACGCTTTGTATAGTGGAAGAGCCACTTCTAGCCTAGAGATATTGCGAGAGGAAAATTAATGAGTTGAAAAAGATTGACCTCTCAATATCGCCAATTTTAACCCCTTGACCTTGATGATTGACTGGTGTAAGAGGAGGACAACACCTGTTTGGGAATGTATGGGTCAGTGCAAAGATTTGATAATGATTTGGTTATTTAACTGGTTTTACAGAATTATCCACTACCTGATATGTCTTTGGCCCCTTCTTAAGCAGATATCCAACACTGTTAAGATTTTCTATAAAGGTGTCAATATCAGGTACTCGTAGACCGATCCTATCAGCCAAGCTATATATTTCCTGCAGGACATCGAATATATGGATGGCTCAAAGCAGAAAGCAATTAGTTGTAACTGCGACAAAAATGTGTAGCTTTAGCTTACTGAGATTGAGAAAAAATCTTTCTGCTGCAACTCCGTTTGCTTGTTGAGTGCACTCAGAAATCGCTTGGCTTCTTTCTGTCGACTCATTCCCCCACTTCGACCAAAATCCAGGACCCCATGTTCATCTACGTACTTATCATAAAGGGATTCCTTCATTATTTCTACCACATCCTGCAAAGTAAATGACCCAGATATGAAATAAGCAGTTTAGCACTTAAAAACCAGTGCAAGGTAGTGAAACAGGGTTGTATTTCATAGGAATCGTATACAAATTTGTTTTTAAAAATTAAGCTACCTACCAACGATATTTATATTTTTAACTAATTAAATAAAAGAGGTTTTTGGATTTCTAACCTAACCACATGTTAGAAATTATAAAAAGTAGCACTTTTTTTCCACGGCCCTTTTCGTTTTTAAAAAATGTTCTTCAAAAGAGGAAAAACAAAAGAAAAGTTAGTAATAAACGAGCTTAATTTTTAAAAACAAAGCCATTTTCGAGTCGGAGAAATCAAAATTTGGGTACATAAGTCTATAACTAACCATGGCATCTTGTACTGTAATTTCTTCTCTAAGGTCTACCCGTGCTCGAGCTTCTGCCAGCCTCACCAGACTTTCCAGTTGCCTTGCTGTAATCGGTGTACCATCCCCTGATGTATTCTGGTCTCGTAGTCGCAAGTAAAATTTCTGCAAGATGTCTGCTGCTGGCTTTGACATTCTAATTCCAACAAGAGATGGGTTTGGATAGATTACGAGAAAAGAGGCTTGCACGGTTCGGAAGTAGAGATTTGCATCAAATAAAATGGTAGAGAGAGCATGAAAGTTTACCTGGGGAACACAAAGGTTCTTGCATAGGCTATATATTTTCGAAGAAGTTGGCCAGGTAATGGCACAAAATCGCCATCTTTCGCTCGGTCCAATCTCAGTCTTGAAACTAAAGACTCGCGTCTTGAACAAGCATCTCCGTTTCCAACATTCTCCATTGCTGCCTTCTTTGAAGCCAACGGGGATAGATCTGGTTCGAGAGAAACTCCTTCCTCAGTGGAAAATTGAGCGTAAAAAGAAAAAGGAATAGATATGAAATAAGACGGAAACCTTTACGTAGTCTTTTTGCTGCAGAGGCGCGTTCCCCATATCCAGCATGAAGCTGCAAAGAAATAGAATTCCATCAAATCCTACCAAGTTACAACATGTTACGAATTGGGCGAACTCGAACAATTTGTTGTTTGTTCAACAAATCTTATACATATTCACACTTGATATAGATGCCAAAATATGAGACATCCTTATTCCTTAATTTCTTCAAGTACATTGCTTCGTTTCCCTTGTATTCTTCTGTTCGAACGTCTTACTGGTATCAGAGCGGACGTATCATGAATTGTTTACTAACGTCTTTTCTTTCATGTCAAGCTAACAGTAAAGGTAACTTCATGATTGGAATGTTCTTTCACCCTCTCATGGAGCTGCCCAAGAGCACGTTCTCAGTAGTTCTAAGTTCCAACTAAATTAGACAGGGTAACAAGAGAGATTGCC